CGATAGGACGAGATCCCAGCCGAGACCTCAGTCGACACGACGAAACGACATGCCCCAGTCGACACGAAGGGCGGTGTTAGTCAACACCTGTCAATCAACACGTCCTAGTCGACGCAAAGGGAGCCAGTCGACACATGTTAGTCGGCTCATGTCCAGTCGACACGAAAGGCATTACTATTCGCCACGCCTCGTGTCGATTCGGATTTCAGATTAGGAAAGAGTTCCTTTTTTTTATTATTTCCTTCTGGGATTTGGTATTTTCCTTTTAGACTTAAAGAGTTTCTTTTTTATTAGAGTTAGGATAGATTTAGTTGGATATAAATATTAGTTCCTTTTGTAAATTATAAATCAACTTTTCAATTATTCATTTAAGAGAGTTTTTTCCTCGTTTTCGTTTTCAACTTTGAGAAACTTAGAGCTTGTGAATTCAATCTCGTGAATTTCCTACTGTTGTCAGGGTTCATCGGCATCGGAACAATATCCGATCGGCCTCCCTGTTTCTACGTCGGCGTCACATACTATTAATATTCTTTGTCTAAATAATTAGTATTTTGTTCTTGTTCGTCTATGTTTGGGGTTAATATATTCTTAACTATGCAGGACAAGAGTATTCCTAGTTGCAAGCTTAGAGAATACATCAAGCCTATGAAATACTACGAAAACCTTACAATTATTATTGGCGATGATCAAGCTAGAAAAGACTACGCAAAAGATGTAAGGACAAACTTGGTGGTAGTTCTCATTTTAACATTGGTGATGATGATGATAATACTATGCCCAAGGACAACACTCCTCACTATGTCTATTTAGTTGAAGATGACATTCCGCCACCTAGGAACCCCTCTATGCCCTCAAACTTCAAAGTTCAAACCAATTTATAGTGAAAACAAAGTTAGAAATGAGATGTCAATGACGCATAGGGGAAAGAGGGAGGTCTAGTGAAGATATGATGCTTATACATGAGATGTTAAATGAAGCAAAACAATTCACATCATCCATGTGATTAGTTAATATGCAATGGACTGAGAAGTTAGCCAAAGCTATATTTGCACATAAAGTGGACTTTTTTCATAGAAATTCCAATAAGTTTCATCAAAAATCGCATGCAAATGAAACAATAGCTAGGCTATTTACAGGGAGGCCAACTGTTATGCAAAAGAAGACCTTGACTGCATATTTTTAGAGTCAATATAATACTTAGTGTGGTGGAAGGATGCTTTTTGGGATGTTTTTTGTGAAACTGACTGACTACAACAATGATAATTGGTTCTTTTTGTATGTAAATGAGCTTGATGAGTGCTCATCCTTTAAGCTACAATTCACATCGTATGTGATATTGTGTTCATGAGACTATTTATGATTGATGTATTAAACTATCTTATATGCATCATCAATGCTAATGTCTTTATCTTAATGTATATTAGTCATTGTCTTCATCAATGTGAGTTTACATGCTTCTTATTCAGTTTTTAGGCTATGGTACATATAATTGACAGGTTATACTGATTCTCTGATTGCTTGTCGTACATGTTTGACAGGATTACATGTTGGATTGTGTGACTGATTTCACCTTGATGGCTTGACAGTAAACTACACATTTCTAGTGTAATGTATGAGTGTGAAACGGGTAAGGATATCAGTTTATTTCATGGTTATATGAGATTGGTTGTTATCAAGTTTTTTGCTATGATGATAGTTTGTTTTTTAGATATGCAGTCGAAGTTTATAGTAGTAATCTACTGGCAAGGCAATCCATGAGCTAAATGCTTATTTTGTCGGGTCCTTATGATAATTGCAACCAATAGTGCTATTATATACTTCATGGTGAGGCATACTATGAAGATAATGACCAAATCTAAGCATTTTTGTTTCATAAAATCTGGGGTCATGAGCTTGGATTTCATATTCAAATTTAAGTGTCTTGTGTTCTATTTATGCTTTTGATCTACCTGATGCTTCTTTCATCTGTGATCTGGGTTCATGGGCTTGCTGGATTATTTTTTAGTTGGCTTCAAGTATTCGCATTAGATTTGTTCATGAATTTCAACCAGTTTTTGCACCAGAGTTATCGCATTAGATTTGTTCATGAATTTCAACCAGTTTTTGCATCAGAGTTAGCATCAGATATGAGCGCTTATGATAGTTTACATGTTTGCATTTGATTTAAGTATTTGGGTTTACAAAGTTGGCATTAAATTTTGGTTTTAATGTTGGCATCATCCCTTAGTTGGCTTCAGGTTTAATGTGAATATTATACATGTATTGGATAGTTATATTTGATTACAATGACCTTTAACTGAGCCCACAAGCCATAACAATGTGATATGATGTGGCTTAGATTGTTATTACTATTTGCATGCATTATTACTGGTTTTTCTCCCTTTGTTGATTGGTCACATGGTATGGATATATGATTTGGCTGTCATCAGTCTCTTTTTCTTGGTTATATGAGACCAATGTCACCAGTTTGTTTTTTCTGGATGTTTGTTTGACTTGGCAGTTTATGCATGGATTTGAAAGTGATGGTTGCTTTCATGTTATTGTTTTCTTAGATATATGACAGATGGCTGCAATCAGTTTTTGTTCTTGGTTTATTATTATCCCTTCGCATCAGGCTTCATAAATTCCTAGGCTTCGTTTGGATACCATGGTGTTTTCCTTGTTGTGTAGAAAAACACCATGGTGTTGTGTTTTTCCCTTAAAGTGTTTTCAAAACACCATGTTGAGTGTTTTTGTTCAACATTAGTTTGACCTATTACAACATTAGTATTAAACATATTATTAATATATTATACATTAATTATAATATAATATATTATAAATAAAATTTTATAATATTTAGTTTACATTATTATAGTATTATAAGTATATAATATAATATAATATTGTATAATGTATTATAATATTATATTGTTAATAATGTTAATATTATGTTTTTATTACTACATAATTAATAAATTCATATATTACAAATATTTTAATATTATATAATATATTATAGTTTCTAATGTGTTAGAGTTTATTAATAATACTTTAATAATTTATGATATAAATCAATATTATTATATTATGAATATATTATATTTACATTAATATTTGTTAGCAATAAATTATTTTAGTATTAAAAATTATTCTACTTTATAATATATTAAATTATTTAGTGTATAATATATTAATGTTTTTATATTATACTTTAATGAGTTATATTATTTTATAATTATTACTATGTTATAATTATTACATATTATTTTCAAATAATTATATATTAATTATTTTGGTATATCAATTTTTTATTGTTATATATTATAAAATATTGTTAAAATAATATTATTTTATTCTTAATATAATATTATACTATTATTAATATGATATAATATTATTAATAATGTTAATATTATGTTATTACTACTATATTATTAATAAATTCACATATTACAAATATTTTAATATTATATAATATATTATAGTTTCTAATATGTTAGAGTTTATTAATAATACTTTAACAATTTATGATATAAATCAATATTATTGTATTATAAATATATTATTTTTACATTATTATATTATTATATAAGATATTTTAATTATTATATATTTATATTATTTAATAAATATTACTAATATATTAGATTAACTATAATATAGTATAGTATAATATAATAAGTATGTTGATAATAACTATATATTAATTACATTTAATATATTATGTTAGATATTATATTAACACCTCCTCAAACTCAAAACCAAAACACCAAACTTAAAACACTTAAAGGTGTTTTGAAATAAGTGTTGTGTTTTTTGTTTGAAGATGATTTAGCTCAAAAAATATCATGGTTTCCAAACGCATGGTGTTTTATTTTTGACAAAAACATCATGGAAACAAGTAAAACATCATGGAAACAAGTAAAACACCATGGTATCCAAACGGAGCCTAGGTTATTTGTTTGGTTTCAATGCAATGATTTTAATTGTATATATGAAAATCGCAACCTACGTTCGTACAAAATGTAATGGAGGGGCAAACTGCTATTAACTCCAGAACTATAATTGAGCTTGAGCCATAAACCTTTAATGACCAAACTTTGTTTGAACTTGATTTGAACTTCATTCTTGTTTGGATTTCACATGCCGTTTTGCAAGCTTCAATTTGTTTCTTCAAATCCTTGCATTTGATTGCATACTTCTACACAATTTTCACCACTCAATCTGTCTTGCTCAGAAAAACATCGACTACGCCAAACAATGCTACAACTTCCTCCCTTTTGATAATAAGCAATTGATCGACGATTTTGTGTAACAATTTGCGCTGGTTTTTTACCTTGACTGCATTGTCGAAGATGTCAATATTCATTGGTTTTTTTATCTTGCCTTAGGGTAAGCATACGTTCATTGTTAGGGATCGGAAGTTGCACATTTATGTTCACTTGCAGAAGGAGGGTTGATTTTTAGTGTCATTTATCATTCAACTATCGTGTCAAATGTGCATAAGTTATTAGGTTAATAATGGGAGGTGTTTATGGATGAATTGAGTCTATTCAATTTGATTTTAGTTTCAAAAAAAATTATGTTGATAACAATTGTTCTTGTTGAGTGGTAAGCACACCTATGGTGACCATGATGTTGTTTTATTCTTTTTTTAATTTGAACCAAACTAAGGAAAATGAGGGAATATATTCACATATCAATTGCTATTCTCTTTTTTCAAGATGAATCAAACTAAGGAAAGTGGTGGAAATCACCTATACCCGTGTTTTTTGGCGAAACAAACACAAAAAAATACTTTTTCTTGAAAGTGAAGGAAGCATGTTTCCTTATAATTACAGAAAGCAATTAAAGTAGCCCTCACTAGAAAACTACATTATGTGTTTGCAAATGATGTCATTGCCATCATTATCCACCTCATATCAAGCAGAGTATATAAGATCCATAAAGACATTAATTCCAACATAGGCAAGACAAAAGAAAGCGCGGCAAAGAATCAAACCAGTAGGAAAACTTACTAAAGTCACCCCTTCTTTTGATAGTGCTTCTAAAGTTTCGCGGTCAAAAACTTTCCCATCTAGTGGTGATTCATCAATCTGCAAAAAGTAATATTCTTTTCATGCAGTTACAAAGATAGTGCTGGGATAGGATAAAATCAGCTACAAAAGTTGCTTACCTTCCAATCTCCTGTATGGAAAATTGTGCCATCATTACAGCGGAGGACTAACCCACAGCAATCTGGGATTGAATGAGTAACACGAATAGGCTCCACTTCAAATGGTCCAGCTAGGAACTTCCTTTTACATGTAAATACCTTAAACCTTGATGTGGCAAAAATTCCAAATTCTTTCAACCGCTTCTTAATAAGCTGCACAGAGTTACCCAAAAAATGGTTTATTATCAGTTTACGAACTGCAGACAGGATCCATAGCCCCCTAACAAACTAAAGCAGCATCCTTAAAAGTATAGGATTTAAAACCTTTAGCCTCCTCGCCCCGACAAACTAAAGCAGTATCATTAAAAGTATAGGATCTAAAACCTTGAGCATGTTGCTGCTCATCTCTGAAGTGCAATTTAGAACACAGAAGTGTTTTTGTAGCATATGCTAATTTTCATAGAAACATACCTCCATCGTGAAGGATGAAGCAAAGATTGGGGTACGTGAATCCAGAGCTGGAATGACCTGTTAACATGGAACAATGATCAGCAATAAATTAATCAAAAATAAAGTAGGAAGCTAAGAAAAATTAACAAATGTTACAGACATATCATGTTTTCTAAGATGAATACAAAGATAAAATTCAGTGTTGTTTAGACTGCAACGACATAATGATGATACTAGTCGGTTTCACATACATCAGCAACCTCATGTGAGCAGCAAAAGATACACTTCAGAAACAAATAATGTGCCTCATGTGAGGAAAAAAACATATATGTCAGAAAGAGAGATTATCGCAGAAAACCTTTTAAAGCTAAGAAAAATATTAGAACAGAACCAAACATGATTGGAAGCCTAGACATGTATCTCTTTATTACTTTTAAATCAAGTATATGGAAAATGTGGTAGTTTAGTCATATTTATTTTCCCATTCAGTACTATTTCTCAAATCAAGTTACAGCATTATACTTTTCTTGAGTAACTTCAGAAAATTTTACATGATAAACTAGTGTTATAACCAGATAGCCAATACTGGCAATGTTAGTCACACCTGAACTTAATTACTTCGCAGTAGACTCAACCTGGACAATATTGTTTATTCCACTTGGCATCAATTCCCTGGTTCTATAGAAATTAGAAACAATTCTAAAATAGATGCTCAAAACAACTTATTGGAATATAAAACAAAGGAGAAGAGGAAAAGTTCAATTCAGTTAAAAAATCTTTAGACTATAAGCAACAAGGATGTCAAGGAGAGTCAAAGAAATGAATGATCTAGGTTATGTCTTAGACTACTAACATATTGTCTAATTGAGGATGATTTTCTCAGTTAGAGCAAACTGCAGACCAATCTGAACACATGCAATCATCTATCCTTTGAGCAATCATATTTGGCTCAGTTAGAGCAAACTGCAGACCAATCTGAACACATGCAATCATCTATCCTTTGAGCAATCATATTTGAAGGAATTGTCAATAATTTTAATGATAATCCTCTGAGAATATGAGGCACTTCCTTCACCAGCAAGGGAAGCAAAAACTAAACATAAACTAAAACCCTGATTACTAAAGGAGAAGAGAAGAAACATGAAAAGGTACTAAAAAATCTTTATCACATGAAAGTGCAACTATCTCAGAGGGTCTCTTCTTCCTTTAAGAGTGCAACCCTAGAGCCGGCCTACCCTCATTTGCAGGGAAGGCAAAGCATGCACTTTGTTCTTGTTAACAGAGGATTCATAGAGTTTAGAAAGATATTTTACCTCTCACTACCTGTGATCATAAGAAGGCTAATCCAATACTTTCCAAATAAACTAACTTTCCAAATAAACTAAGTCCTCTGGTAACACTCTCTACAGGCTGGAGCATACGTACCTTACATGCCCAGCTTGTCACAGACTCGCAAAAGAAATCCACTCACGTTTTTCCAAGAGGTTTTGTAAAAAGATCTGCTAACTGATGACTGTCTATCTTATCAAGTACTAAGCGACAAACCGACAACTGACTTCAGTGTGTTTTGTCTGCTCATGGAACAGAAGATTCTCAAATATGTTAATGGTACGCTTATTATCACTATATAAGCTTATAGCACATTTGGGTGCAAAACCAAACTTAACCAAGGCTAACCCTTTAAAGCCTCTTGCGTCCTTCTTGGAGGAAATCTTCTCTCCTAGAAGAGCAAGAGACCGAGTGTGGTATCCTAATCTAGTGTTGAGTCAGAATATCGTGCTACGGCAAACATGACTAGTGAGTTAGTCAGGGTTAAAGATTTGTCCACTAAGCTTGATGTTGCACCATAATGTCTGATGAGCTTATACAGTGATGATAAGGAAGTAAGGATGTTATTCACATTGCCGAGAATCATGTGTTCCAAACATGAGCTTATACGAGGGGACCAAACACTTTGAAGCTAACTGTTACTTAGTATGTGAAAAGATAGAAGGTGGTAGATTTGAGAAAGGGATGAATTAGGTTATAGGATTAGGGTTAGTGAGGAGGGAGACGAGGCTCTAATACCATGTTAACTGAGACTCAAAGAGTTTTAATAGATTATCCTTTCTACCTTAAGAACTAAAGAAGACTAATCCAAATCCCAAATACATAAGAAACTAACTTTCTAAACATAACAACTTTCGACATGAACTAAGCCTAACAGTTCTTTGCATAGATGTCTCATGTTTTGGACTAGCTCTTTGGTGTTGGAATTGAGTGTCCAATCGATGAATCTAAGCTATAGTCAATAGAACACTGGCACTGACCTAGCAAAACAATTGCAGCAATTTGAGACATGCCAAGCTACCGCAAACGCTTTATTTAAATACAAACCTGACCGTTATCACAAACATCTGGGAAAACCTTAAAAAACAAACATTCCTTTTCACTCTATAGCCCATCCCAACTTATTTTACTTTTTGGCACTAAAAGAACCAAAGAGGGGGAAAAAAGATAACGCTATGTTCAAATATCCACTGAGGAGTTTAAATCCTCCAAGAACCACCCACAAGTGAACAGGCGGTTCTATCCATACATGCAAAAATTAGGGGGTAGAATTGGAATTTTTCATCCCCCGTGTACGGATAGAAATGCCCGTTCGCATGCGGGTTGTTTTGAATGCAGTACCCTAACACTGACCCACATTGGGAAAACAAAGAGAACTTAAGGGCGTTTATATAATAAGTCAAGGGTCTCAAGTGTAGCATTAGCTAGCCAGAAAAATATATTAGGGCGATTAGCTAGCCAGAAGTGTAGAGCTAAGTGTTATGCCGGATTAAGTGCTACACCGCGTGAGCACGGTGTGAATCACATCTAGAACTCATAGGAGACACCTTTAGAGTTCACACTGCTTGGCGCTGATACTGAGATGAATTCTTGTCATGTTGCAACAAGGATGTCACATATTTAAGGTAAGAGGATTGCAATACCCCCAGACATTGTCCCACATCGAGAAAACAAAGAGATCTTAAGAGTGTTCACATCGTAAATCAAAGGTCTCAAGTGTAGCATTGGCTAGCCAATTTTGACAGTGGCTTGAGCCAAACAACGTGTTACACTCAATAGGTCTCACGGCTTACTATGTACCAGCGAGCCCGCGAGTCCGGGGTGTGACACTAAGGGGATCTGAATTCATGGTAGAAAAAAAAAGAACTCCAAATTGTAAAGAAACTGTTATGGTAAAGATTCTATCAAACAAATGAAGTAACGAGAAGATAACAAGTGCACAAAAAACATCATGTCCAAGAGGTATAAGGAACACTTTACCCAAGGCAACGCACCAATGTGATCCTCATGGCCATGTGTTATAACAACTGCTTCAATTTTATGGCTCCATCTCTTGATGAATGTTGTGTCAGGTACAATCTTCTGGATCCCTAACTCATCATAACTGATATATGCATGTAGCAACAAATAAAGTTAAATGAATAAAGGGAAATACTCACAAAAATAATTTAGCCGTTAACCATAAGAAAATTTGGAACGAACACGAACTGTAGGAAAAGCAAATATACAATTGAATGCAAATTATCAGGCACAATATTAAATACTTCTTCCAAATAGTATTTATGCAGACCAAATATAAAAACTAGCATTCAGAAGAATAAGTTATTCATTCAAAAATTTCAGTGAGAAACATTTTGGGTGCACTAAAGGGTATTCAGATGGCAATATAAGATGAATTTGAGTTTCTTTGCTCTTTTAAGAGGGCTTACACTTCTACGAATAATAAAAATAAAAGCTACATAAAGTATCCATGGTTGCTGAGTAGAATTTTCTAACTCCAAAATTCACCTTCTCCTGCCAAAATTATTTAAGCAAAACAAACCGCTCACTGAAAAACGTTACTATGAGTCAAATGAAGCCCGATGTAAGCCCAAGAGGATCCAACTAGCATAATGTGCTAAACCATTATACACAAGTATCAACCAGAAGTCATAGCAAAATACCATTCAGAAAATGATTATATATAACTGATGTCATTAAAATTGACTAATGGAACCTACTCTGGGAACATGATTCCTGCATCAATCAGGATATAACGGTCATAGTTTCCCACGAGCATGCAATTCATCCCAATTTCCCCCAAACCACCAATTGGAAGAACACGGAGTGGTGGACCATCTGATCCTTCATAAAACTGTTCCAACTTCCTCTGCACAGAATCTTCCATGCTTTTGCCAGCCCCATCTCTCCTTCTTGATCTCCGACGGGGCAACTTTGTTTCTTTACCACCTATGATGAGGAATGATCAATGTAGGAATTTCATCGCCAAATTAGTTCACACATTACAGTAAATAACAAACACTAAATAAAACAGATAAATTCAATAACACGGTACGGAAGTCAGGCTAACATTAACGCCTCCTTTGGTACGCGGGAATGGGGTGGAATGGAATGGTCATTCCCACTTCTCATTTCCCAATACCAAACATAACCATTTTTTAGAAGTCGGAATGCCCACTCATTCCCATTCAAGTGGGAATCAATTAGTTATGTAATTTTCAATTACACCCCCATTGATAACAAAAATAAATATAAAAATCCTATCTCGTTGAGCGACATAACCAGATTAATAACATGGATATGTATGAACAATTGACTAAGATGTTTTTCCTTAGGCTTGCATATATAGGGAAATGGATTCTAGGATAGAAACACGAAATATTCACTATTTTTATAATGTTTATTTTTAAAGATAAAATTGTTTAGTTATTATTATTTTTTTTATCTTTTTAAAAATCTATGTTGTTGTAAGGGCATTATTAGAAAATTAGATTTCATTCTCACTTGTGAATTAATGATACCAAACATGAGGAATGAGAATGAGATTTTTATCCTAGCTTCATTCTACAAACGCACCCAAACAAAAGTTCCATTCCCACATATATTCCATTACATTCCTTCTTCCATTCCATTCTCATTTGAGTCCATTCCTGCATACCAAACGGAGGCGTAAGAACTCCCCCCTAAAATGTTGGAGTTAACACGACATTTTGCTTTGTGAATGGTCATTACATAAATAAAAGACAGGTAAATATGGAAGTCTTGAGGAATAGGTCAGATATGACCAAAAGACATCATGCTCTAATCTAAGCAACAAAAATTGATGTCAGAAATATCGTGGACGAAAAAAAAGGTACATCATTACACTACGGCAAGGGGTATCAATTTTCAAACAACAAACTGCTATAAAACAAATAAATAAATAGTTGTGCCCTCCTCTTTCAGATTGTGAGATTATATTTGTAGTACGAGATTACAGTCTTTTGATAAATTTGTGATTCCTGTTGAATCTAATTAAATCAACCATTCAAATCTATCTAAAACTGAAACTTTTTTTACATCTTAGAAAATTCAGTAATAGCGCTTTCTATACAAGTCTATAAACTAATTTTAAAATACTCAATTACTAGCCTTTATTAAGAAATAGTTTGCAGCTTGAGGAGTTACATAGACAGACTACATGAAATTAGACTGCATGAAATTGGCTCTACCTTATAACCAAAATAAACAATAAATTGAATTCCACCATCTTTACAATTCCAGTCCAAAAGAAAACACATTTCTTTAGAATCTCAACTTAAGCTCTAATTTCCTAAAACAAATAACGCTAGCAAAAGACGAATACATTTCCCAGAAAAATCTCAGCCCATCATCTTCGAATTCAATTGCTGTTGTCTCATCAACTTGTCTTGTATGAACTCTCTCCAAGTAAAAAAAGGGCATCTTTTATAGGCACAGCAGGCTTCGCGTCCGGTACACAACCATATTTCAAACTAAAATATAACCCCCCAACCCCCCGCCCCCAAAAAAAGAAGGCATATTTGAACTTCAAAATCCACATCACATTCTAATCTAAACCATAGCTCATAAAAATTCGTACAGAAATTGAGAGAGAGACCTGATACAGTTGAAGGTGGAGCAACGGAGCAAGATACAGCGGGTCGAAAGAGGCTGCTGGGTCTTCGAGAGAGGCGGCAAGGGCATAGAGAAGGGAAAGCAGCGAGAGACGCCATGAGATTCTACTGCTAAGACAAAGCCTAAGAAGAATGAGGGGAGGAAAAAAAAGATGAGGCTTTGAACGGAGAAAATGAGGGGTTTTGGGAGAGAGGAGAGTGAAGAAGCTGGGTTTGGGGTTTTGGATTGAGGACAGCGGAAAAAATAAAATATCTGTTTCGCCTCCCTCTGCTTTTCTTATCGCTTTCGTCTCTATTTTGCACCGTTGGATTGCGTGGCGCTTCGGATCCACCGTGTCATCTTTCTGACTTGGCATTATTTAACAAATGAGAAGTTGACAGTTGGGATATTTTACATGCTGACCAAGGAATATCTTAGTCTGCGTCCGTAACATGAAAATATCACAACTTCTCAAGTTGGACCGATTTCATTATGTTGGGGTTGAACACACGATCAACGACACGTGCCCTTCCGGATATTGTGTCAAGAGTAGGCAAGCAAGAAATCACAGCAAATAAAAGAAAACTTGCATGAAAGAACAAATAAAAAAAGAAAACATCAGATTTAACGAGATTCGACAAACGTACCTACGTCCTTGGGAGCCATACCAGAAATTCTTTGATTATTGAAGAATATTACAATGCTCGCAATAGGCCACACTCTCTCTAAGATCTCTGATCTCAAAGTGCCGTCAAAACCCTCTCAAAGACGTCCTCACATAACCCTAAAAACGTTTTAGGAAACATATATATACTCAACCCAAAAACAGAATCCAACCCGAACTAGGAAACCGCCAGACCCGATATCGGTCGACCAATAGCATTGCATCGGTCGACCGATAATATTGCATCGATCGACTGGTTGATCGCCATCGGTGGACCGATAGTATTGCTTCTATCGACCGTCCAGAGCTTTGTTTTCTACAGGATTCTTGTGCACGTTTTCGGTCGACCGGGGCAAGTCCATTAGTTGACCGTCCCGAAACTCCTGTAATGCTTTTGACTTCACATCGGTCGACCGGTGTCACTGCTCCGGTTGACCGACCGGAGCGGATTTTCCTGTTCAGTTTCCTGCAGTCGATTCGGTCGATCGATCTATGCATGTCAGTCGACCGATGCTGAGTTTTCCAGTTTTGTTGATTTTGATCTAGGTTTGGGTCTACACTTCTCGAAACTAACAATGTCCCACTTGGAAACCAAACCGCCATCAACGAGCTCTTCCTCGCCATCTTCGCAAGCATCTTCTCCTACTTGAAAAAATTCCATTCTTCAATCAATATCATCTTGGTGATCCCGCCTATCCTCTTAGTGTGACTTCGCCTTCGTCTCCTACGCGTGAAGGCCAACTGAAGTTGCGCACAACTCAAGTTTCTCGATGGTCACTGCTTTTGTCAACATATCCGCAGGGTTTTGACTCCCCAAAATCTTCTCCAATTGTAAATTGTCGTCCTCTATCAGCGACCGTATGAAGTGGTAACGTACGTTTATGTGCTTCGTTCTGGCATGATATATTGGATTCTTTACAAGGTGTATAGCACTCTGGCTATCACAATAAAGAACGTCATTCCCCTGCTTCAAACCCAGCTCTTCCAGGCACCCGATCAACCAAATCATCTCCTTGCTGGCTTCAGTCACTATAACATACTCTGCCTCAGTCGTGGACAATGTTACTATCTTCTGCAAACGTGAGACTCAACTCATTGTTGTCGATGCTAAGGTATAAACATACCCCGTGATATTTTGCCTCGTATTATAATCACCAATAAAATCTACATCCACGTATCCCTGCAGTACCAATTTCTTCCTCTTGAAATACAATGACATATCCGTAGTTCCTTTTAAGTATCATAATATCCACTTCACGGCCTCCCAATGCTGCTTTCCTAGGTTGCTTGCAGACCTGCTCACAACTCACACTGCATGGGCGATATCCGGCCTTGTGCAAACCATCGTGTACATAAAACTACTAATGGCTGTTGAATATGGCACTCTGCTCATGTGCTCCTTCTCTGCATCTGTCTTAGGTGATTGCTCTTCAGATAACTTGAATTGACTTCTAAGGGGCGTGCCGATGGGCTTGGCATTCTCCATGTTGAATCTCTAAAGTGCCTTCTCAATGTATTCAGCTTAACTCAACTTCAACGTCTTTTCAGCTTCATCTCGACTGATTCGTGTAGGCGTCAAAAATTATCTATGGATTCCAGCACGTAGATCGAGACAAAAAGAATACGATGAATGTTATTATCCATATTAAGGAGGATTATCTAATGTCATAGAGAATCTAACAAATGTACGAAGCGAGTTGATAAAACATACAAATCAACGGGATGGTACAATAACGAAGAAGCGACTCGACTTGGGGTTACGTTTCACCCACAAAGGAGTAAGCACCACTCATGTCTTGCTCATCCCATGGGTGTCTCACCTATGTGAGGTTGTAGAGCTCTTCTCGAGCTTTCTAACGCATATTGAATCACTTCATTCCAAGGTCGGACGAGGGAGTTAGAGCCAAAATACTCAAGACAATCCAAACTGTTTCGCACCTGCGAGACACCAATTGTGTCTCACACATTTTGGCCATAATAAAATTCAAATCTGAAGAATATCAAAATATAAAAGTTGTAGATACTTTTGTTATCTTTCCAACACATTTTGAATCATCTCATTCTGAGTTTGTACCAAAGAGTTAAGACCAAAATACCCGAGATAGTCCAAGTTGTCTCGGACATGTGCGAGACAGTCAAAGTGACTCGCGCCCAAGTCAGCTCCTGACGTGTTTTATGATAAGATTAGCTTCTAGAACTCCTTGGGGTCATTTATAAATATGTGGGGTTATCCTTAAATATATGGAAGTTGTTACATAATTGAAAACCCACCTAAACGGGTAATAACGGTTGTTCTTCTACCCTATCCACAAACACGACATTCATATCCACAAACATGATATTTAAAGCCTATAAATACACCCCTAGCACACTCATAAAAGGAGATCTAAAGGTAGCCACAAATTTCAAAGAGGAGGAAGAGATCTTGGCGAGTTCTTCGGCATAAAGAGGGAGAGTTTGAGAGATCTGTGGCCTGTTCCCCATTCCTCCGGATCAAACTTGGTTTTGATCTCGAGAAGAGTCGTAATCTCGCTTGGTCGAGATTATCACTTCTGCGATTATTTTCTTTGCGAAGCAAGAGCATTAATTAACTTTTCTGTCAACCGGATTTGATCCGCGGTGGTCCACGGATAAACCCCGACACAGACAAAGATCCCATGCACACAGAGACTAATAAATAGGATCTGTGTGTTGTTTGACAAAGTTGTAATCTTTTATTTTTTATTGTTTAAGAAGATCTTATAAAAATATCAATTTTTCTATTTTTTTGAACGTGTAATCGATAAAAGATTGTAACAGGTTCAATGACAATAAAAAAGGTAACTTTTGACCCAAACACGCTGGCGACCATAGTGGGAGCCAACAGCCTCGCTGCCAAGGCTGTCGTGTCACAGCTGTTGATCAAGATCCCAGTGGATGAAGAGGTCGAGTATGAATTCGACCAACAGAAGTTCGAGGAGTACGTCTCCTCCTCCTCCGGATCCTCTTCTCCCTGCAAGCGCAGGAAGACCACTTTCCTGTGGAAGGTTCGTTGGTCTTCAGATCTGAAGACTCGGGGTGATAATCTTCACCCAAGTGTTGTGGAAGACTCCTCTCCAGCTTCTAAGAAAGTCGGATCTGACGATCGTGACAACTCTTCAAAGGTCAAGGAGTTGCCCGTCGAGCGCGCACCAATGCTAACGAAGAGGGCTCGCCAAAAGTGCCACCATCGTCTTGCCCGACAATTCGCCAAGGCTTTGGAACAAGTGGATGGACTCCGCTACCAAACGGATCTAGAGTTTAGAAGACACCAAGTGGCTAAGCCGTCGCCATAACAAACACCGGGATCCTCCTCCCAACCGTTGACTAACAAATGGGTTCATGACAAATGAACCCGTTCTACTCTCGAGGAGCGCATCCAGAAGCATCGTGCACTTCTTGCTTATGCCCGGATCCTTGTTCGAAAAGCACAAGAGTTATAAAAAGAAGAGATGGTCAAAGAGCCACCAAGACCTAAGCAGGTTTGGGTGCCGAAGGCCAAAACAGCGGCTCTACCCGACAAGAGACACCACTCGCGTCTCTTATTTAATTCCAACTCTAGGACTGCTCCCTAGCCTTTGTCAACTTTAGATCCTGCTCCTCCTGCTCCTGCACCTCCGACGAAGCCCTACAGCAGCTTGGGTCTATCCAAATTCTGAATTCCATTAAAGAATCGTCTGGATCCTCTACACGAAGATCAAGGCAAAACTCCTATCAAAGAACGCTTAGGACCAGTGAACAAATCCCGAGCGACTCTTCAAGCTGGGGGTCGTGCACGATGTCTTAACAAGACTGTTCCTGTAACCGCCCGCTTGGGGGTGTACAAAAGAACAAGAGCCCGTTAGGGGTTTCACCCTCACAAGGGTGTGATTCCAAACGTGTGACTCCTACAAACGCCAACAAGGCATTTCTTATTCAGAAGAAAATGTGTCTGGCAGAAGACGACATTATACCTGATAAATAGCCAATAGGTTGCTCCGACCACAATGCCGATGAGTTGTACTATCAGGTTGCGGGTAAGTCTCGAAAGAGAAATACCCCAGAAATGAACTCTCACTGTCCTTGTAAGAGGTTAATTAGGGCAGTATTATCAGAATGTAGTTGTCCTAAGACCGCTCCATAAAGAGCCTCGGTATTCCGAAGTCTTTCCGTTGAAGTGTCAAAACCCAAATCAAGACGTTCTCCCAAAAGAAGATCGGCCATTCGAGATGACGAACTCCCAAAAGTCACCATCAACATGGCTAACAAAGAAAAATCTATGTTCGCTTCGAGTGACACTGATCCCAACTTTTCTCCGGGAAGAAAAGACAATTCAGGGATAGCCTAATGAATATCTTGGCTCCAGCTAGAAGCTGTCAGAAATGGGGGTTACCCGAGGATGCATGAAGGACTATCTTCAGAAGACAAACTTTCAGATACTTGCTCCGCAATCACCTCTAACGATACAATGTCTAGCATGGGGCGAGCTCGAGAAGTATTCATGATCACTACCAAACAAGTGACTCAACTTCTTCAAGAAGCATTGGCCAAATAGAAAGAAGATTTTAAAATTAAAATAGATATGGTCGTGCAATGGGTCAAGGATTTA